TGTGTGTGTGTGTGTGTGTGTATACATATCCAGTGTACATTTAGGACTATTTTAAGAAAGATAACAATACTTATTGGACTTCCTATTTTCCCTGTTTGAGAAGTCCCTGGCAGTACTCCTGTTAATGAGAAATTACATAAAACTTTATCTGAAGTGATGGGACTTTTACCAGTTTTTTGTTTTGTTTAAAAAATGAATGATTCTCCTTTTGGGTGGGCTTAGATACATCCAAAGGAAACCAGCAGTCTGTCTGGCCACCAGTGCATTTTTCTGTTCTGATGCACTTATTTCCAGTATGAAAGGAAAGAGTAACTTATTGGAAGGTCAAGAATCAAATGAAAATTGCATCGGAGGATACACACCCTGGGTCATGATTCTCAGGAGAATCTCCTGGATATTTGCCTTTAAAAACTTCTATCTTTGAATGGTTGAGCTCCTTAATCATCGAGTCCACATGAATCAGGTAGATAAATTGGTGTAATTGTGTACGTCAAGAGTTCCTAAAACATAGAGATTAAGAGCCAAGTGACTGGACAGCACAACAAATAGGACTATACTACTTACCAGAAAATAAATGTAGCACTTTCTCACTTATCCAGTTGAAAGAAATACAGAGGCTACTTCGAGTGTAAAAGCAAAGGACACCAGGAAAACCAGCCTAATTTCCTAAGACCACAACCAGTGCTGGTGTTTGAGAAGCAGTCTTTATTAAGGGCTTCACTGTATTAGCCTTTATCTATGTAAGACATCTATTTAAGACATCTTAAAAACAAAAACAAAAAAACCAACTCACTGCCATCGAGTTGATTCCAACTCATAGTGACCCCTATTGGGTTTCCAAGGTGGTAAATCTTTATGGAAGTAGATTGCCCAGTCTTCTTTCCACAGAGTGGCTGGTAGGTTTGAACCACCAACTGGTTAGCAGTCAAATGCCTTAGGCATTTGACACCAGAGCTCCTTAGACATCATAAGTATTGAAAAATAAGCAGTAATTTAACAGATGGATTCCATGAGTTGTATTTCAGATCTGAATAAAATTATTTTTTCTTTTGCATAAATAAACATATTAATTCAGAAAATAAAGCACTGAGCCCTTTAGCACAAGGCATTTACACTCAAAAATCAGTTTAGTAAGCTCACAAGTAATATTCTGTTACTGTTTTACTATAATCATGTCATCAGTAGTAGGCTGCTATACTTTTCCTCAGAGAATTATATAGTCACATTGGTTTGGGTATGAAATGACCTTTATGATCATCCAGTATTTCAGAAGGCTACAAAATGCCATATCTATGCTAGTTTAATGTAGAATTGGGATTATATTATCTGATACTATTATAGGTTGGGGACAGTATGAAAGACATATATCTTTCTCAGGCATGAAGAACTTGAGATCTTATCAACAAACTAATGGGTGAGACATTGTTCTACTCCTTCTTGAGGATTCTCATATACATTTTTTTAAGTATTATTTCTTCAAATATATCCCCTAAATATTCAGGCCTTACAGAATGTAAGGAAATTCATGTCAGATTGATTTTCAGGAACTGGTTACAGAATTAGTATGAAGGCTTCCAGAGTGATACTGCCTCAGAAACCCAAGGAGAGGTCTCTATGAGTTGGATCCAATTCAATAGCATTGAGTTTGTTTTTGATGTTTTCACAGATACAGGTGTATATGTGGAAGATTCTGAGTGTTGATGACCTAAATACTCGTTGATAACAGTCTTTGCCTTCCAAGTCTTAATGGGAGATTTCAGCCAGTGTAGGGAAGTAATCCTATGCTGTTGCTAACCTAATCACTGTTTCCTGTGGATGTAAGTAAAGAGTTTTAAACATTATGGCTATTGGTATTCATAAAACCAAAACCAAACTCACTGCTGTTGAGTCGGATCCTACTCGTAGCAACCCCTCCTTGTGTTTCTGAGCCAGTATCACTGTGGAAGTACATTGCTCAACCTTCCTTCCAATGAGTGGCTGGTGGGTTTGAACCACCAACCTCCTGGTTAGCAGTCAAATGCCTTAGGCATTACACTACCACAACTCCCTTATTGGTATTTTTTTCAGTGTCTGCAATTGCAAGAAGAGTGGTTTCCAAATGCTTTAGAATAGAGACATGCTATTATTGTTTAAAATGTCTTGTCCACCTCTTCCAGTGTAAACAAAATATATATAAACTATCAAAAAAAAAAAAAAAAGAAAACACTGCCATCGAGTCAGATCTGACTTATAGCAACCCCTCCTTGGGTTTTCTAGGTGGTATCACTATGAAAGTAGATTGCTCAACCTTCCTTCTGAGGAGTGGCTGGTGGGTTTGAACCACCAGTCTTCTGGTTAGTAGTCAAATGCCTTAGGCACTATGCCACCAGAGCTCCTACATAAACTATATCTCATGTATATATTTATTGGAGCCACAGTGGCACAATGGTTAAAGTACTCAGATGCTAAGTGAAAGGAGAGTGATTTGAACCCACCAGCCACTCTGTGGTAGAAAGTTGTGGTCGTCTTCATGCATAAAGATTTATAGCCTTGGAAACTCTATGGACAGTTCTACTGCCCTATAAGGTCATTATGAGCTAGAAATGACTCCATAGCAGTGGATTTGTTTTTAAATATATTTAAAAATATATTTATTGTTATAGGAAATAAACTGTATTTCAACTCATAATACTCCAGAGATGATTTGACCATGTTCCAAAAACATTATTTATATCACATTACTTTTAATTGACATTTTTTATAAAATATGAAATGATATTCAAATTACCATTTCCATAGTTCTTATACGAATATTCCTAAATTACATACATGTAACATTATAAAGCATGTTTTCTTTCCAAATATTTCCCCTACCACCTGATTATTTGAAGTATCTTAGTACCACTGAAGATGAACTTATTACATTCTGTTGGTATGTGTTTATGCTACGAAGGTTACCACTGTAGGATAGTTATAATAAGTATTAGTGTGTAAATTACAAAACTGTATTTAGAGGGAAAAAAAAAACATAGACACACACACACACACAAACACAAAAAACTATTGTTAGATACTATAGACTTGTAAGAAAGTGACTCATATATACTAGTCAAAAGATTACTCTTGCTTAGGGCAGCAAAATAACTTAAATTACAGAGTCAGGGTGGGTTATTAGCCAACAGGAGATGTTTTATGTCAGTGGCTTTAGAGCTTTGACTATTGACATAAATAGTCTCATAAGGGTATATTCCCACACAAGGCTTATTACTCACATAAAAGACCTGTAATTATTACCAATCTTTAAAAAAAAAGAAAAAGATGAACTCAACTGATACAATTCTAAATATTTGTGTAACCTTAAATTTAATCAGTTGTTCTAGAAGAACATAAATGTTCACAGGATAATGAACATTTTTTCCAGAGCAAAAATTTTTCCTTCAACAAACATGTATAAAATACATAATACTTGCCAAATATCTCTCTGATAAAGAGGATAATAAAATTCATGACTGAGATAGTCTATTCTTTCAATTATTTCTCCATTGACTAAGTATTATAGATAAGTACATTAGTAGGTCCTGGCAGAGATACAGAGGACATAGCCCCTACAATAAATTTACCAGGAATCTAGAGGGAGCAAAAAACCTAAATTAATATTGCAAAACATGGTAAAGAAAGGGTACCAAAAAATCATATTATATCTTAAAGGAAAGGTAAATTAATCCTGACTGAGGGTTGTCAGCGAACAACATAGAATAGTGGTGGGACATACACAGCATTTGGTCACTTGACTTCAATTCAAATCCCATCTTTGTCAACTACTAGAAACTCAGGGCTGAATTATTTTCTGCTTTGAATTTTTTGCTGATACTATGTGTTTTCGGGAGCTCTGGTGGCATAGTGCCTAAGGCATTTGACTGCTAACCAGAAGGCTGGTGGTTCAAACCCACCAGCCACTCCACAGAAAGAAGATTGGGCAATCTACTTCCGTAGTGATACTGCCTCGGAAACCCACGGAGGGGTTGCTATGAGTCAGATCCAACTTGACGGCAGTGGGTATATGTTTTTAGTAATGGAGGGCATCTCGAAGTCAAGAAAAAGTATTTTGAGTTATCATGCATTTTGATGTAATTATGTTACATCAGTCAAATGCCTTAGGCACTAGGCCACCAGAGTTCCCATATAGATGTGTGTATGTGTGTGTGTGTGTGTGTGTATATGTATATGTATATGTGTATGTATATACACACACACACAATTATGGAAGAATTAACTTTTTCTTCTTACTCTGTCCTTCCTGCTGATTCTTCATTAACTACTTATTTTCAAAGTTATTATCTCATAAACATTCAACAAAGCCCAAAAGTATTTATGATATAAACTTGTAACCATATGTAACATGTATTTTCTCCACTTAAACAATGATATTCTTCAGTCTTTAGTTCACTAGGACTGAAGCACCGTCCTGGATAATAAAACAGAAAAGCTATTTTTTTTTCCCTTAGATTAGATTTCTAGAAATATAGGTAATTAAAAGATTTTTAAACTATAGGATTGTTTTTTCATTTAGTAGAATTTAATTGAGCTTAGATTAGTAAAACAATGCTATCAATACCTAGTACCAGAGAGTTTTGTTGGTGAACCTAATGATTACAATGATGATTTCATTTAAAGCAAATATTACCTATAGAAATGCTAGTGATTGGAGAATCACTTCAGTTCTTCACATCGCTAAGGGTGATGGAGGTGGTGATCTCTTAGTGACTATATAACACCGGCTCCTTGGCTTATCATGT